AATATGAAGACCACAAAACTCAAAAATCTTCCGTTTGAAGAATCCTTCATTTCATTAGAAAAATCATCGATGTCGTCTATTTCGTGGGTATTGTTTATTAAATTCTCAACAAATAAAAAACACAAGAGCTTAATGCATATTTGATTTTAGTATATACAATCACAGACAAAAATATGCCATGTTTTTTTTGGCTCTTTCTTTTTCTCTTTATGTAAAACACGTCAGTTTTTGCGAATTTGCGTGAAAAAAACTAAATAATATAGCAAGCAGAATCAAAATACAATATTTAGATGGATAATATGAATAAATGCTTCGATAAATTTAGCTGTGCAAATATTAATATGAGTATTATTTGTTTTATTTATTAATATTTGCATTTGTAATATAGTAGAACTGTTACAAGGTTCAAATCGTCGTCACAATTAATTTTAATAGAGAAATGATATAATACTCAAAAATAAATTTAGTCTATTTTAATTTTTGCACAAAAAATTATGAGAAACAGCATCGTTATGCGTTCCTGATATGCTATAAATCATTTATATTTTGTACATGACAATGATTTGATATTGTACGTCATCTGTACTATTTGTGAAGTTTATTATTAAACGAATATGACATGGATATTAGATACACTTGCGGACAGAAATATTGCATATTTTATTTTCTGTAAGATGTTCTTTAAGTATGTTGCGTATGTACTAATCAGCATTCATTCTTAAATTTACTAAGATAAGCATATAATTAAAGCTAAGATTGTGTGCAAAATTACATGCTGAAAAACACATTCCCTAACTTTCTGTACTATTACTTGCATCGGGTTTCCATATTTGTATTCTTGTTTCGTCTATAAAGAGCACCTTACCCCATTGATTTTCATTTCTGTTAATATGTTCTTGCAAATTCTAAACGTTCAATTAGAAATCCCAGAACTCCTGTCAGATGTTTTGGATTTAAGTCGATTTTTGGATTTTAATTCCATAGTTCACCTTATTACAATCTTGACTAATAGATTGACTTGTATTGAATTTAACAACTAACGTAATGCAGAGCTATAAGCGGGGTAATAGATCGTAATAGAACACAGAAGCTACACAACGGAGACCATGCAGTAATAGACCAGAACAAATGCATTTTAATATAAGGTGACAGACGAGCATTTTGCTTGCAATCGTCCGAAGACTACTCGCAGCCTGTTGCGTTAAATGCACACTGAAAGAAGCGGACTAAGACCACAAAACATTATTTCTTGCGTATTCAAATATACTACGCCTTTGTCGCAATACATATAGATAAAGAAAATATTATTGTACAATCCAAAATGTTTGGTTTATCGTCAAACGACATCCCAAGAGGAAAAATAAGTTGAATAAGTTACTGTTTACATATGGATAAGTTACAAAATAAAATAGAGGACGACCAGGCAGGTTTTACAGCTGGGAAATCGTGTGTTGACCACATCTATACTATACAACAGCTAATAGAGAAGAAGATGGCAAAGAACAGACCAGTCCATCTAGCCTTTATTGACCTAAAAAAGGCATACGACTCTGTGCCCAGACAACGACTGTGGGAAGCCATGCAACAAATAGGAGTAGAAGATAAGCTGATCCATGTAGTGAAGTCCATGTACACACATAATAATGTTACAGTCAAGGTAGGTAACAAGTTTGGAAAACCATTTAAAACCACGAAAGGTCTCCTACAGGGCTGCTCGACTTCACCTACACTCTTTAAAATATTTCTTCAATACGCCCTAAAGCCATGGAAAAGGAAATGTGAGGGAATGGGAGTACCCATAAGGAACGACCATCTGTATACCCTCAGTTTCGCCGACGATCAGGTCATAATAGCACAAGACGAGGAAGATCTAAGTTATATGGTTCGAAAACTAGAAGAAGAATATAATATAAATGGCCTGGAAATAAACATTAACAAAACAGAATATCTGAACACAACACAAGAACCAACAAGAAACCTGGAAGTGGATGACGGGCGTGAAATAAAGGGACCGATAAATTTAAATACCTGGGGTTCATTATATCAAATAAAGGTACTACAGAAGAAGAAATTAAAAATCGAGTGGGTCAAACCAGAAACTCTATAAGACAACTGAATCCAATCCTATGGGACAGACACATAACAAAAAAAGAATTTATAACACGATGATTCGCAGCATTCTAACATATGGAGCAGAAAATTGGGTCTTAAACAAAAGCAGCAGAAACAAAATAAACGCCACAGAAATGGACTACTGGAGAAGAAGCTGCAGAGTTTCCAGAATGGACAAAATAACTAACGACGAAATCAAAAGACGAATGGAGATAAAGAAAGACAACTTAAATTACATTGAAGAAAAAAGATTAACGTGGTACGGACATGTCAGACGAACAGACCCAAACATGGATAGCAAAAATAACAGAGTGTAGCCCCATAGGGAAACGCAAAAGAGGTAGACCAAGATCTTACTGTTTTATTTAACTATATATAAATTAAAATCAAACTGATCTGATATATTTTAGCTTTATTTAATACATTTTTATATTGGCGGTAATCAAAGAGGAAAAACCAATCATTTTACCAGAAGTAGAAAAGGTTCTCAAACAACTAAGAAACAAAGAAACCCCAAGGATATATGGACGGGATTTGCATAAATGTAATACTAGATATGTGCAACATACTATGGATCACAGGTGAATGGCTTGATGAGTGGTGCGAATCAGCCTTTATCCTTATCCATATGGAAGGATCACTAATTGTATGTAGCAATTACAATTATGTAACTATTTCAATTATGTAACAATTATGTAACTATTCCTCATGCAAGCAAAATGCTGCTACATATAATCAATGAAATATTTACTTTTAAAAGGCTGTATTAGAACAAATCTTTACAATTTTAAGACAGCTGTTTTAAATGAGATCAATGAAATCAAACAAATTTACTAATTTATTAAACTGTCGTAATTTTATATCTTAACAAAGCAATATTCTCACACAATTTTAATCCATTGTGGTAGGTTTACAAATTTGACGATTTATTCTCAGTATTTGTAGAGTCGGGAGGGAGAGTTAAGTCCCACAGCACTTGGGCCACAATTGATCCATTGTGCATCCTCCCAAGGAGCTATCGTCGTTAGCTCATTGTCCATCCTGCTATTTCCAGCGTACTCTTATATTTAGGATAACTCCGGCATTCACATAGGACATGCTCCACAATTTCGTCTTCTCGTTCACATTTCCTGCATAGAGGCGTGTCTACTAGCCCAGTATGTGAAGGTATCTGCTTAGTTGACAATGACCATTTAAAAAACCAACTTAGGTTTTTCCTGGTCATTCCCAAGTACTTCTTCGATGCTGACTTTTTAAGGTTACTTAGTGTTACCCTGGCAAGTCTACATCCTTGCACTTCTTCCCATCTTTTTGCGGTTTGCGCGTGGTAGTGATATTTGACAATTTCCGCAATTATTGTAGTTGACCAACCAAAAAGATTCCCGGTCCTAAGAGTCTTAGGCCTGCTGCCTCCCCAGCTAATTGATCACCAATGCGGTTGCCTTTATTCCTATTGTGTCCTTTAATCCACTTCAGGATGATATTCTTACCATTCGAAGCGTGAGTTAGTTACTCAAGGTTAGTAGCGCTCGTCTGCTATCTGTTCAAATTATTATAGTTTTCCCGTGTATACCTTTTTGGAATATTTCTTTTGTGGCTATGCAGATACCAGCCAGTTCTGTCTGAACTGCGCTGGCATTTTGCCCATACCTCACTTTATTCTTAGGTTCAGTGATCTGGAGTATATCCCGCATCCTGAGCTTTCTTCTATTTTGGAGCCATCGGTGTATATTCAATACGCATTTGCCACGTTTAACTCCCTACATTGCCTTGTTTCGAATTTGTAGGGTTTGCCAAAGACAAACTTTGGTTTAATTAAGTCGCAGCCTGCCTATAGCAGGGGTAGTGCATCCAGCTCTCCCGCCAGAAACGAGTTCTCAATTATCCCATTCCCAAATGTCCCAATCCCAATGACCAACTCCATTGCAGCAGTTGGTGTTGTTTTCAGGGCACCTGTTATATTTATGCAAGCCATCCATCCACTGAATGTGGTTTAGTTTTTTTATCGCTGTTGTCTGTAGCACTTTTGGTACCTAAGCAATAGCTCTGTAAGTTGGCATTGGCCTAATAACAGTAGGCTAGATCCAGGCGATCACCCTGCGCGAAAGGCACCAGGTGCGTCCGACCGTTCTTCGACACTGCTCATAGGTAATATATGCTCTTTTAGCTCTACCATCTTTTGGGATCCCAAAATTAACATTCTCAGTAAAATTCAACTTGATTTGTTTGTTTTTATTTGACAAAAACAAGTTGCAGCAGCTTTAGCTGTATTTGAACTTTGTTTTTCGGATGATGGTTATTAGAGTTCTGGCTTATGCTTTCATTGTTCAATGTTGAATGAAGATTGAGAGGGTCATATATATTACTACTTAGACTACCTCATGCTTCTATTTATATAGTTCTTTAACACTATACTTAATTGAAAATAATCAAACCTGTTGAATGTTAGGAAATTCTAAAATCATTGAGTTCATTGCTGGAAGGGAATTACAAAAGCAAATCAAAACAACAATAGCTTAAGTCTACTAAGTATGACCGAAAATGAACCCTGAGTCTAAATTCGTAAAAATACAACAGGACGATCTAAATTGATACTGTTAGAAAAATGACAGCTAATCAAACTTATGAGAATAGCTTATGATTTGATTAGCTTATAGTTTAAGGTACTTTCAGTAAACTTAATCAAGGTAAAAAATTACGTAATTTACCTAATGATTTTCTTTTGACTTAGTAACCCGAAAATCCATAGGTTGTCATTCAATTGTTAGTCCACCTATATTAGTCAATTTGGTCCCTTAAGAAGATTGTCGATTAGTTAATTTCTAAACTAGATAATACACCCCATGGGACCCGTTTCGGTATAATATTAAGGGTATTTTTTGTTGCAGGTCCATGTTAAAACCACAGCCACCATCAAAGCCAGCCTCTCTGGACATTCTGGCACAAGCTCCAACAATGGACAACAACAGGCTGGAGAAGCTCGTCAAAAATTTTGTAGATGAAGATAAAGCTCGAATTGCAGCAGCCAGAAACAAATCTCAGTCGCCTGTGACATCACCAGTCAACAAAATGCCTTCCAGCATCCAGTACGCGTTGCAAAAGTTCGAAAAAGGTTCTAGTCAAACGGACAGTGCGGTCGGGTTGAGAGACGGGGGTAGCGGGGCAGGTAGTTATTTGCGGAAAACGGCTACGTTGCCCAATAGAAAAGTCGGTGTGGGTAGTGGGGTTTTAAGTGGGTTAAGTGGTGGGGGTAATAGTGATTCGGGTGTGGGGGTGAATAGTTATAATTCATCGAGTACAACGAATTTTGTGCAGGTAAGTTTGTTATTAGTTGTACAAAGATCTAGTGTATTTATTGCATTTATTTACATTAAAACAATGAAATTAAACTGTAAATTAATAAATCATAACTGATTAACTAGGGAGGAAAGTTTTGATCGATTAGATACGTATTTAACGATTTCCGAAAATGGGAGCATCGTGTTGATAAATGGAAACAAAGATACTACACTTAAGCTGTTACAAATTATAGTGAATTAAATACTCTACTGTTAGTAAGCTTCTTGAGGTTGACAATCATATGGCTACTTTTATTTGTAAAGTTGCTGCTCTAAACAAATTAATCGATCTGCATTAATACCAATCACGTAGAATCTTCAACCAAGAATTCTGCCTCCGGCCAACAGATCATCCTTGAATCTTTCCATGTATTATCGTGGACTAGATATTTCAGTTTTCTTGTTTGTACAGTGGTGATTAGTTATATTTCTTTAGTTAGTAAGCTAGCTTTTATTTATTTATTATTGTATATATTTTAAAATAGTATATATAGTACGGCGTTTGTTTGTACAATACATCTTCTTTTCTGCGTTAATCTCATGGTTATTTCTTCTTCGGTGATTCCATTTTACCATTTTTCTAGATAATGAAGTTGCAAGATTGCCTTTGATTTTTTTTTATTCTATGAGTTCGTTGAATCGGTGATCGAGACCGAATACTCGATGAATTTAGCCGCCGGTTAGATTATAACCTAATTATTGTAAAGGTTATTGTAAACCCTATTGTAAAGGTTTTTAGTTATTATATTAAAATAAAATATTTTTAATTAATATATTTAACATTCACGCAACCTGTATTCATATCACAAAATTTCGCTATAATTTTGTTAGAGTTGTTAACAAATGAACTTCATTCAAAAGTCTACCTATATTAAATTATAATAACCCAATTAATTATTATATTCAACATTTTATTCACAAAATTTTGAACATGTTATTCGTATTATATTAAAATAATTGAATAATTTAATATATTCAAAAATGACGCTATTGTGTTAGCAGATATCCAAATTTTTGCTATAACTTTGTTAACGCATTGTTAAATAAATTACTTTCAGTCAAAAGTTTATTTTCCTCTTGCACACAAACTCATACCATTACGGTAAAATGAATAGGTAATACCCAGTAATAGTCTAGACGGGATCTGTTTTGGATTGGACATTTTCCATAGGAAGCTATTTTTTTGCTGGAATCCCTTATGGATGTGCCCAATATCGATAATCACGATATGCGCCAGTCGCAAACCCTGTGCTAAATTTTTTATTTACCAAAACCTGAAAACAATTTATTGAAAATTTCTCGTTTTTTTGCTCCTATTTTCGTTTATAATTCGGACAATATTGATCCTAGAGAAAAAATTATAAGAAGTTAAAAGTTACGTAAGTCAATTTTACACAATATTTCGTTAGCTAGAAACTGAAAATTTAATGTTTATTTTGAGGGTATACAAGGCAACTATCGAACACGGTGATTAATTTAATCTTGCCCAAGTACTTTCGATCAATAGATCATCTTCAGGGGCATCTGAAATAAGCCAAGAAACGTTTTTTATAAAAAGGAAAATTAATTCACTTGGATAAAAAACTCCAAGTTTATGGTTGAAAAAAATTTTATATGTGATAAACGTTTATAGACTTACTTCGTCAGTTGTGGCCTATCCGACATAGTAGAATGTCATAAATGTAAAATTTGGACATAACAATACAAAATACAATACACTAAGACAAACAAACACTTTAAAATTTTTAAGGAGAAGCTACATGTTGTATAGAAGCCGGAGACAGAATGGGCTCCCGGTCTGACGGAAATATTGAGATGACATGTGACAAATGACAGCTTGTGAAGGGCAGTTATGTGATCTGCACCTTTCAAAATTCTATGACACTAAGTATTGACCAAAGGTCCAACTGACACCACTATAGGAAATCAACTGATGAAATATAAAATTATATAGTATATTTTTTATGTAGATTGAATAATCCCAATCTCACACTCAAACCTGTCTATAATAATTAGGATGTTAGTTTGAGAGCAATTGAAGTTGACATAAAGTATGAATGTGAGAAAAGACTAACAATATATTAGACAGTGGATGGTTGACTACAATAAAATGGTCCACCAAGCGCTATCAGTACTGTAAAAAAGAAAAATCTGAATATGCAGTTAAATTACTAAAAGTTAAAATCAAAATTGAAGACAAAATATATAAATGGGTTATAGTCCACGTAGTTCAGTTGAATCCACAGTCAATGGAAGAACTTTAAAATTAATATTGAAATGCTCAGTGCATGAAGTCTAAACAGTCGAGCTGGGTCCTCTACGAGGTGAAGCTGTAATAAAGTTTTTAAATATAGGATTAAATTTAGTACAATTTAAATTAATTTGAGTATTAAGACAGTGAGAGTTTTCATTTGTTTCCCTTGTAATCTCCAAATCTTCCAATAAATCCAACTCAAGATAGTTTTTCTTTCTGCTAATGTCATGTAAGATAGATGAACCAGAATTGATGTTAAAATTGTGGTTGCTGGATGCTAAGTGTTGACCAAAACTTGAAGAATTTGGTCTTTTCAAATGTTCAGAGACTCTAGTGGATAACTTTCTGATGGTTCTCCCTACATAAGAGGCATCACAATCATCATATTTACAAATTAAAATGTGATGATTGTGATGCTGTCATTTGTCACATGTCATCTCTATATTTCCGTCAGACCGGGAGCCCATTCTGTCTCCGGCTTCTATACAACATGTAGCTTCTCCTTAAAAATTTTAAAGTGTTTGTTTGTCTTAGTGTATTGTATTTTGTATTGTTATGTCCAAATTTTACATTTATGACATTCTACTATGTCGGATAGGCCACAACTGACGAAGTAAGTCTATAAACGTTTATCACATATAAAATTTTTTTCAACCATAAACTTGGAGTTTTTTATCCAAGTGAATTAATTTTCCTTTTTATAAAAAAACGTTTCTTGGCTTATTTCAGATGCCCCTGAAGATGATCTATTGATCGAAAGTACTTGGGCAAGATTAAATTAATCACCGTGTTCGATAGTTGCCTTGTATACCCTCAAAGTTTAATTATTCGAACATTCAACCTTATATTGATTTAATGTTTATTGTTGAAGAAATAGCAATAATTGGAAAAAAAAGTACAAAAAAATGAGCTTAATTCTTTAAATGCTTTTGACTTTCTAAACTTGACTTACAAGCTCCATATTCCGCCTAGAAAAACTATTTAATATGTTTAAAACGTGTGCTAAATTTTGTTAAGATCGGTCGGATAGGTTTTGCATAATAATTGTGCAATCCAGCCTACTGGAAAAAAATCGCAAATTTTCAAATTTATAGTAGGCCCTAAATAAGGCCCTCAGACAGTTGCAAATTTTTTTACGTATAAAGGAAGGCTCAAGCTTTCAAACGCTTTTTGTAAAATTCAAATCGGTTCACTAGGGGAGCCTAGAAAATGTATTAAAGTTTTAAAGTTTTAAACAAATTAAATAACTTTACGAGCTTTAAACATATCATTTTCGAATCAAAATATATTCTCAAATCAAATAATGTCATTATTACGATAAAACTGCAGAAATTAATTATTTTAAAAAGTTTGATTTTTACAAAAGAAAAAAATTCGTTCGCCTTTGTTTTAACAATTCAAAGTTTTCATTTAATCTGCCCATCGTGTTGGAGATCTTCCTCTTGATCTTCGGCCTTCTACCTTTCCTTCTACTACCAATAGGTTCATGGTCCCCGTTCTTATAATTATGTGGCCGAAGTAAATTAGGTATGCTCGTTTTACTTTTTTTAATAACCTGTCTTGTATATGAAGCTCTTCCAGAATTGACAGGTTGGTTCTATGTTCTGTCCAGAACACGCGTAGAATTCTTCTATAGACCCACATTTCGAAGGCATCGATCTTATTGCTATCGATTTTTTTGAGAGTCCATGTTTCAGCTGCGTATGTAGCAATGGGAAAAATAAGGTCATTGACCAACCTGAGCTTAGTATTCCTTGTTATTGTTCGGTCTTTCCATGTTTTAATCAGTATAGCTGTTGCTGTTCGGGCCATTGCTAGTGTACGCTTGATTTCAGAGGAGCTTTTTAGCTACTTAATCTCAATCCATCCTGTCCTAGCGCTCACAACCCACAGGCAGGCGGATTTATGGCGAGTGTATGGCGAGTGCACTGTCAAAGTGGTTCAGTTATGGTTCAGAAAATTATATACATATGTATATTAGGCGTACTCTTGCCACTCAAATTGTCAGGTTTTTAAAAAGGATGTTACTTCTCAAAATATGCAGAGGAGCTATGTACTCTCAAAATTGAGTATTTCAAATTAAGAACTAGGTTTCTCAAATGAGATGACCAGCACATAATGCTGACTTAACTAAAATCGGGCATATATGAGACAGACTCTATAGAATTATTTAATGATGGATGTATGCTTATATGCCATGTGTCCAAAGTATTTTTCCAATTTTTTACGTTTTATAGTTGGGAGTTATTCTGATTTTCCATCGATGCGTTGTAAGATGGGTTCATTAGATTTATAATATATGTCATAAAGTCATAGCATCTCAGAATCCTTATTTGTTTATGAACATTGAAGCAGACATTACAGAGTACTTTACGCATTTTATTGAATGATCCTTTTGATTTTATGATTCGACATCTTGTTTCTGTTAGTGGTCACAGTCTTTATTTAAGGAGCATTCAAGTATGTTATTATCTCAGTTATTGGGAGAGCTACATTGTTGACAATAAATTATGTGTTGTCGACGTCGTTCTTATTGATAGCAGAGAACTACGAGTTCTCTGTTGATAGTGTTCGTTTTTTTAGTTTTCATACCATATTTACAGCATGCAGTCGCTATAGGATTTATAACATCATATAAAGGATAATATCATCATGATACCTCAGGTTGTTTACAACCTCTCCATTTATTAAACTACCGTCTTTTATATTGTATACTTCGACAA